TGGAGCATAGTTTAATGATTTTCATCCTAGCCTATCACGAATTATCAGTTCTTTTATAGCAAAAATCTGAGTGCAGCAATCTTGAAGAAGTCACAACATAATTTGCTGTCACTTGTGAATGATACGCATAAAGGATGTGCAGTGAACACGAATGAATAACGATATTGATATTAAGATGTCTCGTTTGTATCCTCGAATTGAATTCGACTCAATGATAGTCGACAATACGTGCATGCAACTCGTATCGAAACCAGAGCAGTTTGATGTGATGGTAATGCCGAACCTTTACGGCAATATCGTTGATAATCTTTCTGCTGGTTTGGTCGGTGGTGCCGGTATTGTGACGGGGCAGTCGATTGGCTCGAATTTTGTCATCTTTGAGCCTGGCTCACCACATGCTTTCCAGCATGCTTTTGGAAGGTATGATTCGCTTCATTCATACATTTACTGTTTGCTTATTCATTGAAAGTGTACTCATTGTTACTCATTCAAGTGCAAATGATTTCTTATTGTGAATCTGATGATATTTGCAGACAAATAGCAAATCCAACTGCAATGATACTCAGTTGTGCAGATATGCTAAACCACTTGCATTTGAAAGAATATGGCGATGCTTTGAGAAAAGCTGTCGAGAAAGTGTTATTGGAAGGTAAAATTCGTACTCGTGATTTAGGTGGTTATGCATCAACGTCAGATTTCGCATATGCTGTCATTGATAATTTTAGATTGTAATTATATTTTCGAGCAATTTTCATTTTTAATTTTCCAGGATCTGGAATTTTTTTACAGTTTGAGTTGTTCTATATTCTTCATATTTATTTCGAGTGGTGTCATTTCCGTTTTATCGAGCTTTATTCAGTATCAAGGAAACAGTGCCCGAGAAAACTTATGAAATGAATCGAGCAGCACTTTTCCGTGGCATATACGTTTTGAGTGTCGATTCGCTGTAAATTTATAGAGGAATTGTAGGAAATTTCGCTATAAATCAGTCAAGATTCTGTTTCTTTCATCGAACAATGCAAAAAGAGTTGTAGGAAATTCAGTTACAATATTTGTGAGAATTCGTGGTTTTCTTAATTGAATTTTCACATCGAAATTATGCTATTAGATGAGTGAAGTTCTCTCATAATTACAATCATGATGTAAAAAGTAGCAAAATCTATTCGTGAGAATGAAAGTATTTCGTTTGAAGTTATTTCAGTCAGTCATTTCAAATTAGCATTAATCGTACTTTATGAGAAGCTTATTGCATGTTTAATTTCAATTTTCGGTCCTTCTTCTTACATCCTTTGCAACGTTTTTAGCACTCAGCTGTTAAAGATTTTTTAAGATTATCCATTTTCTATTACAACCTTATTACCGCACGTCAGTCTGAATAGTTGATGGTGGTATAGACAATTTATCAATCCGAATATCCTCAAGCTTGTGTTGTCTGGCAGCGTTTCATTCCTATGAAAACATTGCAATATTTCACAACAACTTCTCTGTTCTTCTTTCTCTTGTACTTCCTTTCGGAATTTTCTTTTTTTTCGTCCTCATTTTCTTTAGTTTGTCAATTCTTTGAGTATCTTCTCCTATAATGCCTTGCTCATTTCTCACTGTTGTATTCTATTGATTGAGGTGTCCGACTTCACTCCTAGCTTTTCATTGCAAATCACACTGCACTATCAACGAAATTTGTTTTATGAAAGTTGAGTTGTCGACTTCTCGGAAATTTGTTTGCTAATTAATCAGTGGTGTGATGCACGTAGAAGTCTGTATTGTTCATTTTGAAATGTGAACTCAGAGTGGCCGATCAATAAAGGTGTTTTACAAAAAATCAAAAATTCATTCTCAGTACTCACGAATTGTTTGTTGACAATTGAAAGTTTGCTCTATCGAGACGAATGGTTGTGTAGAANCATCGAGTCGTTGTAACAAGGATGATTGAATGCTTTATTTAAAGTGTTACGGTTCTTGTTGAAGCAATACTCGATGTGAAGAAGTTTGATAACGAGGAGGACTAGCCTGACGATGAGTGATATTCACAACTTTATGCATTTTTATTATTAATAGTTTTTTTTTAAAATTTGATTGGCCTGTTACTATGCATAATCAAATTTTAATATATGCTAATTATTTGTTGTTACCTTAATTCATTTGTTATCTCGTCAGAATAAACAATCTCATCGACTGTTAACAATAATCGAGACTAAAGATCGCAGATATAACATATTTACTAGATGGTGTGTGTATATATACACGTGTTACTTTGTAATATTGTAATTTTTTATCGGTTTAGCATATTAGAAAACTATTTATGAAGTGTGGTGTCATTATTGTAGTCGTTTTCACTATTTTTGTGTTATATATATATATATTAATTTGATTTTTTGAATTATTCGATAAAGATTGATTACATTTTGTATGATTCATTGATTCATTCTCGATGACACGTTTCATTCGATGTGTTTTATGACCGGTGAATCGCAGTTGTTCCAGTCGTGAACGCTAGAAAATATTTCTCAATTTATTTATTGTTAATTTTCTTTCCGAAGATTGTTTTTATGATCAACTTCAACGTTTAACAAATTTTTGTAACTGCAAACAATTAGCAAACGCTAAACAATAAAAGCTTTAATATAAACATGATAAATAAAATATTTTTAAGAGTTATTTCCGTTCATCAAAACCCATAAATCATTTTACAAGTAACAAACACAAATCTTTTCGATCGTGCTAAGTTGATAGTCCTCAAACATATTTACAATATTGATCAATCAGTGGAAGTAGTGCGAATATTGATTGTTCCGTGCCAAAACGACTAGAATTTGATCTTTGGCCGTGCATGCAGAGCAGAGCAGCGCTGGACTGGTGTGTGAGTGTGTGGTGCCATAATGAAGTAGTATTGAGTGTGTTCGTGGATAAAAGCAAATCGTGCTCATTTTAATGCAGTCTATATATTAGCAGTTTTTGTGGGTATTTCTATGGCTGTTAGCCTATTGATTAGTGCAGCGCTGATTTCATTATGTGCTGATGTATTATTTCATTGATGGGTTGACACATTTAAATTATTATCTACGTATTCTTGCGGTTATGCTATTATCGTCCATCTGAATGTGCACGCAAATCTTGTTATTGGATTTGATTAAACCACTGAGCAGTGCTCATTGCATAATCGGGTATGTGCGTATTGTGTGTCTTCTAATTTTTGTTCATCTCATTTCTAATGTGAAGAGGATGAGCTTAAAAATACCACTTAACGTTGACAATTCGGAGAACATTTCAGGAGTCTGAAGTTTTCTTCCCTATTACTTGATAATGTCGTCGTCAAGTAGTAGTGATGAATTTGAAGATGCCGAGGATGGACTGGGTCCTTTAGAGGATCGAAGGCGGTTATCGTGCATGCGCAACGGTCACAAAATATCAGGCAGTAATCACTCAGCAATAATCAGATCACCCGCACAAACACTACAAACAACACCCGTTAAATCAGCACTAATCGATGAAATCGACAAGCGCTCTGAGCTGATCATTCAACAACCATCCACATCTAATTATATCAATTACAGCTCACCGTTATCTCCAAAAATCACGAAGGTATATATCGTGCGTGAAATACGCCTTATGTTATTTCCATTACCGCTGTAAATTTTGATAATTCGGCGTTCGATTTCTGGAATTCAAATTTATTTCGTTCGTGAATATGTACCAAAGGTTTGTTATTTGTTGTTTCGAATTGAGGCAAACCATATGCACACACGTGATATTGTTGATTTAATGGCGTCTCTGAATTGTGCAAGCAGCAATTCGAGGTTGATTTGTATATGGTCTTCAAGTAATTTTCACATTTGCTTTCAAATCAAATTGAAGAGATTCTTTCATGAAACGTTGACGTGATCACGTGTCGTCGTTGATAAACCTGCCTTCCTGAAATGATTTCGATTTCGGCTTCTGTAACTGTTGTCGCCAGTNTAAGCGGATATGATTATAATTAATAAAGAGAACAATTCAGACGGGTGACATGCCATCATCGTCATCAGTTTCACGTCGTGGTCGTTTGAGTATTCTTCGCGGTCGAATGCGAAGTGAGTTTGGCCCAAGTGGTGTAACTATGAACTGTGGTGGTATTTTGCTGGGTGACGCGTCATCGATCGAAGAAGAAACTGCACCAACCAGTGAAAGTGCTTCTTTGGCGTCATGGGGTCGTAATCTTCTTATGGAACACTCATCGGTCAACGTTGGACCCTTCTTTCCATCCGATTCACTCAGTACGAAGGCGTTTAATCCAAATGTTCAATCCGCTGAGTACTTAACGTTAGTTTTGATATTAAACTTTCTGCGAATCTTTTCGATTTTTTCCACAAAGCTTTATTCCTTTTTTTTGCGTTTTACCAACACTGCGCTATTAATATTCTTCACGTTTTCTAATTAGTATTTGTGCAGCATTAGTTTCCAAGGCAGAATTTGTTGTAGAAGAAATGTGAAAGGTGGGATTTATTCCGTAAAAGTTGAAAAGAGACAGAGAATAGTGTTTGTAGACAAAACGGTTTTGTTTGAAAGATGAATTATTGCTTTGGATACCTCGAAGCTATTGAACAAAGTTACTGAGCTCAAGGGAATATAAGCATTCATGGAAAGAAGTCGTAATAGTTATTAGTGTAAGTGATCAGCAGAAGGATGATACTGAACTGATAGGCATGCGCACAATTGGTGATTGGTAATGCACTCACTGCGCGAAGTATTTATCGTTGTAAATAATGTCGTAAATCGTTCAGAGGTGTGCCCTTAGTCTCACCGACGGCTGATAGTGATCGTGCGATAACGTCGTCCACCCAACGAGCATCATCTCAGTCATCCACCCACAATCCACCGATATTATCCGCCATAAAACCGCCATCAATACCGCCGCCTCCTTTACCCAAATCACCCCCTCCTCAATCACCGTCCACTGAGTTAGTGAGGAAGTTGCCGTTACCGCCGCCAACATCGATACCACCACCATTACCCCCACGAAATCCAGCTCTGAAATTACCTGCTGCTCTTCCACCACAACAGATCGCATCCATCGTCTCTGAAAGGTGCTCAATTGATTATTGATTATTTTAACCAGTGGTGAACACACTACGGAGCAAAAAGTGAATTTGTTGATGCGCCAAAGAAGCTATTTTCGTTCCCCTGAAAATAATCTGTCGATTCCATCGTTGAATAACTCGATAGTTCCACAAGATTCATTCATTTTCAGTTCTGAAAAGTCTCCATCTATGCTAGCATCTACAACTGAACCAGAACCAATCAATAAACCAGCACAGTAAGTTTCTTACAGCCTGTTTTGTGACTTGGTGCAGTCTTCTCTTNTTTTTTTTGGAAATATATGAATCGATTAGAAGTGTCTTTAGTAGAGCGATAGGATGTCCAGGATCAATGAATTGTTGAAAGATTCGAATTGAATAAAAATGTTTTCATTGAAATGTATCAAGCGGGAAAATGCTAACGATAAGTGATAATTGCGAGTTCATTTGGCCGAAAGCGGTAATATTTCTCGATTTCAGCGCCGTTCCAGCGTCATCCTCATTAACAAATGAATTGTCCACTACTTACCGCCGTGGACATGCCAAAACGAACTCATTGGATCGTGGTCTGAGTTTAGCAAAGTCCATGAAAAGCGGTCCATTTCCTCCACCATCAGCGAACAAAAGTAATTCATTGAAGAGAGAATCATCAAACGACAACACGGCAAATACTTCAGCAGATTTGAATTCATTTTTGTCGTTGGATGGTGGTGAGGAAGATTTACGAAATAGTGACGCGCAAGGAATTATTCATCAAATCACATCGTCCATTCTTAACGATGAACCACTCAGGTTGCATTTTTAGTTGATCATTTACTAATGTCAGCCTCATATTGTTTCATCATCGCTTGATTCAACGCAAGGCAGCTAGTATTTCAGAGACGAGTCGTCAGCTAGCGATACGCCCTACACGACTGCACTGAACGTGGAACGTATTCCATCGGTGAACGGTGAAAAAGTGGATAACGCGAATAACATACTCATCCCGTCCGTATCCAGTGGCACTAGTCCGTCATCAGACGCGCCATCCACTGTAATTAAAACAGATAATCTCAGTATATCAGCACAACAACATCAAACCAATATCTGTTTAACACCTTCTGATGGTGATAATGAGGTTCTTTCATCGTTGCTTCGCATATTTTGAGCTTGAATTGCACTCGTGTTTCGAATTGGATGTTGAATTATTTTGTTTGTATTGTTTGTGTATGGATCTCTCAAAATTAGTAATTTTTNAAGAAAGATGATACATTAACGAGAGAATCGCCGAATGCGGATGGTACTTTGAAGAAACCGGTAGCCGTATCCCCACAAGCATTCATTGATCCAATTACAAGAGACGTTGAACGACGAATGAGTATGAAAGGACATCAACGTACTGAAAAAGGGTGAATTATCATGAATACGCATCCCTGAATCGTAAATTATAAATTGCCACTGAATGGAATGTATGGGCAGATAGATTTGAAATATACTTTCTTTATTTAGCAATTGTGACTTACATATACATTATGAATAATTCCTAATAAGCTGCTTGCAGCAGATCCGTTCGTTTTTAATCTTTTAATCAATGGAGAATGAAATTTGAGATCAGAAGAAGATGAAACAGCGTCGCAAACATTAGCGAATGCAGGTGGTTTGGAGCGGGCAACAACGTTGATGAAAGAATACGGCAGTTATGCATCTGGTCTATTTCGTGGTGCTCTTTCAAGAGCGAGGCATGTGGTTTCATCAGGGTGAATTATTCTTTAAGATTTGTTCTCCTTTATTGTATTCGATGCTGTTATTATTATTTGCCGACTAACATCATTTTAATTGTTCGATTGAAATTATGCACCTTTGCAAATTTACTGTCGGTTTCTTTACGTATTTTCCGTCGGATATTTTATTANTGTTGCAATGTTGGTGATGTTGTTAAGAGCGATTGTTAATGGACGAGTACTATCATATTCAGTTATAATCGGAACATACATGTAGTAAAGAGGATAATTTATTTGCTTACGAGTAAAATTAAAGAATTTTCTGCAGCGGAGCCGTATCGAAACTACCGAAAGAAGAGGAAGAGAGTTGCAATGAGAGCGAAAAAGACGAAACTGGTAATATCGATAGCACACCTATTGTAAGGCCAAAAAGCGCCAAAAGAGGACCGTTTGATTTCGATGGAACACGACTCGTGCAAGAACTGAACAATGAACATACGGTTTGTGCATTATTGATAATGCGGTATTCGGTCGGCGATCATCAAAAAAATTTGTCGATTCCCAACACCATTCATTGTTATCATCGGTGTTATTCATCGTTATGAAGAATAATTATTCTCATAAAATGATTCACATTTCTAGTTGTATTATCTTTTTTGTTCTGATTATTACTGGTCGTGAGATTGTTTATGAGCTGAGTTTTTTAAAATCAGTATTATGCTATTTGAATGATAACACCTAATGTAAATTCTCTAGCAGTAAGAGATAGTAGTTTTTAAGGGTGCAATATGGTGTATGCGATTCTCGTTATGTGGTCGTTTATTGGCCACGGCCGGTCAAGACAACATAATACGTGTGTGGATACTACGCAATCATTTATCTTATTTCAATAAGATGCGTGAAAAGTATAACTCGAGATCCAAGAAAACGTCTTCTGTTTCGTTGGGTGAGCATTCATTGCAAAAAGCGATGCAGCAGATCGAAGATGACTTCCGTTCATCATCTACAACGGTTATTCTCATTTTCATCCAACACCTATCTGTTTATGAATACCGTTTTTTTGCATCTTATTATATTATCTTTTTGATGTGCACTTCGATATTGTTCCATCAAAAGCATTGTTCATCATTCAGGTCATCGGTGCTTACGATGTTTTTTAATTAAACAAGTTATTTTATCCCTATGATATTTGATCGAAAAAGTTTCATTGGTTGAAATTGACTAATGCTCGCAATATGGCTTTATGAAGTCGACGAATTTGACTGAATTTACTTTCATATGATGATTATCGTCAAATTGATGTTTTTGAATGGAACAATTGATTTATTTCTTATGAAATGATTTCAGTTAGGTGAAAGTATTGAATCGTCCGAATGTCATGACGAAGAGGCGAGCAACGAGAGTTGCGCTGTGATGGCACCAAAACCGTTGTGTACATATCGTGGTCATACGGCCGATGTGCTTGATTTGTCGTGGTCACGTAATTATTTCATTCTATCGTCGGGCATGGATCGAACCGTTAAGCTGTGGCATGTTTCTAGACCTGAATGTCTTTGCTGTTTCCAGCACATGGATTTCGTTACGTGTATTGCGTTTATGCCCAAGGTTATTACTCGTTTTTTTTTTTGATGCAGAGAACTGAGTTAACTTTTTGTGGTGCTTTTCGTCGTTTTAAAATGATTGACTGAAAATAGATGTTTATCGTATCTTTCTTAATGAGTAATAATCGGATTGTGATGTTGAAGGATGATCGCTACTTCTTGTCTGGTTCATTGGATGGTAAATTGCGGTTGTGGCATATTCCCGATAAGAAAGTGGCACTCTGGAATGAAGTTGAACAGGTGAAGTTCATAACAGCGATAGCGTTCGTGAAAAACGGTCGATTTGCTGTGGTTGGCACTTACGATGGTAGATGCTTCTTCTATTCAACCGACCAACTTAAATACCATACGGTCATTGATGTGCGTTCGACGAGAGGTAAAAATGCAAGGGGTCATAAGGTGCGTTTGGTTATTTGCAGATTAGATTACTTCCGTTCTTGTGATATCATTTGTATTTGTTGTAAGTCACTTCAAATTAATCGATGATATTCTGTGTTATTCATGCGAAACTGAAACAAAAATGTGACATTGGACTGTAAATATGTTGTTGTTTGTTCAGGTAACAGGATTGGCTGTCCATGGAGATAAACTGCTGGTGACGTCGAATGATTCTAGAATTCGAATGTACGATCTGCGTGATATGGCACTCACTTGCAAGTTTAAGGTTATTTCTTGACATAATCTGTTCTCATCCATTGTACTGTACGACTATTTTGTGTATCTATTGATTATTGTTCAAACGGTTTTTATTTCGGTTTTAAAAAAAGCGTTTGTTTGAAGCGTTTATTTCAAACGGTCCAAAAAAAACATTATATGACTGAAAATCGGAGTTTACAAAAAATTCGAGTCGTTTATTCATAAGAAAATGTCAAAAGCATTACTCGCAATGTCATGTCGAATGATATTTGCTTAATGCTGTTATGATGTTGAATAATTTATGTGATGAACACATTAATTCAAGGGTGCGCAAAATGAAAGAAGTCAAATTCGAGCATCGTTCTCACCAGACGGTAAGCATATAGTGTGCGGAAGTGAAGATAGGTATGTGTACGTATGGACAACTGCGGATTTACCGTCGTCGTTGTCCGTCAGGAAGGATCGAAATGACTCGTGGCAACGCATTCGATGTTCGTTCATTTATCGTTGATTATTCTATCATTCATTTATTCAACTCCACAAGTTTCAGTTGTTTCGCAATGATATTTATTTTATCACTCTCTGGAGAGACATATCGTTTCTGTGTTAGTGGATTGAGTTTATTTTTCGCCAAAAATTTGTGGTGCGTTATTTGAGTAGTATCGTTTGGTTAAATTTGAAGTATTCCTACGTATATGTGTGTATCTGTGGGGTACATGTTTGTTGTTGGTGAAATTAACTTGGCGAATGTTCGCTTCATTTTATTGCTGAGAAAAGAGTTGATTGTTCTCAGGTCATTCGGCATGTGTATCGGCAGCAATATTCGCTCCACGGCCACAACTTTTCCTATCGCTGCTTGAACATCGCCGTTATGGGGCTGAAGAACGTCGCTATGAGACGGGAGTGCATTTGAAGAGCTTGCAAGAACGTCAGTTACATGGCGATGTTATCATATCGGCTGATTTGAGTGGATCGATTAAAATTTTGGTGAATCGAACAAAGATTAAAGCTGGCTCCTCGAATTTTTTCACAACCGATATCGCCTAGTATTGCGAATGCGGACTGTCCGGTTGCTTAGTATACTTATTGATTCGATATATTCAGCTTATTCGGTTAAAAATTTTAACAAATTGCTCTTTTTTAGTTATCTTTCATTTTATTAACGTTGTTTACAAAAATTTTATTTTCCACAGTGAATTATAATTGAATATGCGTACTCAAAAACAGTATGCAATTGATTGGAGAACCGTGAATTGAAGCCGTTCTCGATTTTGAGTTAGCAAGTTATACTAATTGTAAGGAACGAAATTTTATGATGTTCAGAACGTATGCTTTCATCATTTCGCGATATGTTTCAGAAATTTTATTGCTAAATAGCTGATAGCCGTCATTTAAAAAACTCCCATCTGGTATCATTGTTTCTGGCTCTGAATTTGTTGGTAATATTTTATGGTAATATGACTTCTGTTTAAGTTATTAATGTTGCTTGAACATGTTATTTCAGTTGACATCATCACATTGTGTAATTGTTAGGGAAAAAATATCTTTTTGCATCCATCGCTCTCTCTCTTCGCTCAGATTTATGCAAGTTCACTGTAAATAAAGCATTATTATGGGGCTCTTCTCATTCGAAGTCTGCGTTCCTTCTTCTTGTTTTTCACTTCTCGATTTTTACGTACATTCTTTTCGCTTTCTGTGATCAGATGTGAGTGTTGTGTAATGAAGGTTTTCATCCTAACAATGGCAGTATTATGAAAAGTAAGTTGAGATCTAACCTTGACGTTGAGCAGTCATCTTGTTTGTCACGAAGGAGCGCAATTACTATCAGACTATGCATCAAACTGACAAAATTCGCACAAAATCACAGCGGTTGTTTGTTTCAGTGATTAAATCATTAACTGAGAATGTTTCACACATTCACTTAATATGACGTTATAAATGTTGTAATGCCCATAAATGCTGGTAATGTTATCTGCTACATGCTGTGACCATCTTTCATTCGAGTTCGTTGGAATCGCTATTTTCATATATTCCAAAAATTCGTAACGTTCTACATCTCTAGTCCGTATTCATTTTCGACATATTGTTCCCAATTGTTATATTCTTCTCATAGGGTAATAAATATCTTTATGCTTGTATGTATGTACATGTGTCTTCATTATACGCATCTGTTGTATTGGTATTGTTGAAGATAAAATTAAAAGTTTATTTGAAGTGCCTTTTGAAAGTAAAGAATTTCATTTTGTGGTTTATTGCAATGATTGAAGTGGTTTGATCCAGCCACATTCGAATGCCGTCATATCTTGTTTGAATTTATTCTCTTATTTTTCTAGTTAATTTTTCAATCGTGTTAGCTTTTTCACTCTACTCGTCTGAAAATTTTGCTATGAATACTCGTTGTCGTGGTGTTTGCGAGGATCTCAGTGATCCGATGCAAAATTCATTGACGTTTTGTATATTGTCCTTATAACTGTTAAAGTTCACTGCAGATGTTACTGAAGTATGTGCTCGATCGGTTTATTCAGTCGGTGAATAGAGTGCATATTTCAAGAATGTTATCAACAAAAGGCACACCTGAACAAGTGAAATTATCAAACGCTGGTGATAATTCAAATGATATTAAAGTTGCTAATGAGGTGACGAGTGAACAAGAGGATGTTCTGGATGCGGATAAAGTGTTAGAAAATGTCATCGAAAAGCAGGCGTACAGCAGAGAAGCGATCACAAAACTGAAGTTTGTTTCNNNTATCGAGTAAATCGACACATTTTCAGGTTTTTTTTTCATTTCGTTATGATTGAGTCATTGAAGGGTTCAATCCTATCTTGATTGACATACTGTTGACTTTCATCTGACTTATTTAATTCAAATAATGTGAACACTATTTTGTTTTAAGGCGACTTGCTGATCACGGTCAGTTGAGTGGCGTGCAAAGGTCGATGTGGTGAGGTGATGTAACAAACTGGTGAATAGTAGCGAGATAGGCAGTATCTGTTGAATTTATCTATAAATACTTGTTTGTTTTGCGTTTTATTTTTGAATGTCTGATTTGTAAATAAAGATTTATGAGTGATACGATTTTGTTTTGCGATATCAGAACGGTTTTTTGACCGATTCCTTCAATTATCTGTTGTTGTACTCACAGTTAGTTGCCGTACTTCAAATGCACTTAAGCCCTTTGAAGCAAACTTCTACGCTATGCGATCGAGTTGATTTAAGGAGGATTCTGAAGTGGTTTCAGGGTGAATTCGTTTTAAAATGATTTGAATATTGCTGATGCAAAATGTTTTGATGTGCGCTGATCAAAGATTGTGAAATTGTTTAGTATGTATCATATTGGTGCATATGTAACAAATGCCAGAAGCCGAATTGTGCATTCTGAGAACTGGCACAACACTCACTCTTTAATTTCCCTATCGATTCTTATTATTCATATGATTCTGCTGTTTTTGTCATTGTTTACTGTTTGAATTCCGTTGATAATTTTTTTTTTGAGATTCAGGGTTGACGATGTTCTCGATAGTGCCTCTCATTTCAGCACTTTGTGCGCTTTTCTCAGGTAATTTCCGATCGTGCTTGTGGATTAGTGATTATGTTCTTATTGTTTTGTTGTCGTGATTGCAAAGTTTCACATTCATGGCGAAACGTTACGTATCATTGTAGATTATTAGACAGGTGACAATTCATTCTGTAAGACATCGTCGAATAATTTCGCCAGTGAAGGAGTAGTAGAGTAGCTGAACTCGATGTGAACGTTTAGACGTGTGGTGTTCATGAACAACTAATTTATTTTCGCCGTTGGTTTACGGTTTAAATTGAGTTTCACATCATAATGCTGACGAGACCAACTGATTGATTGATCAACTGATTATGGCTCATTTCTTAGGAAGCAATTGAGTTCACTTCACTGCATCACTTCAGTTCACTTCAGTGTTCGTGAACTCGTCTAGAAACTACATCTGTATATGGAAACCGCGAAAGTGAGTTGTTATCTTGTTTCAGTTTCATTCGCGGGGAATATTTATTTCGCAGCGAAGCCATCGTCTATAGGACTACCCCAAAGTGCATCGCTCACAGAGAAAGACGTACCCGTCTTGAACAGGAATTTACTGGGACTATCAGCTGAGGTACCACAACACTGGACGGGCACAAGTGATATTCTGTCGAGGCCGAAGGCATTAGCCATTGGTATGTGTATGCATACTTCGAGTACCGTTTATTGTTCCTGAAATCAGCATTGAAGCTGTCGTGCTTGTTATAGATTTTGATTCAGTTACTGTCGCATTTTTCTATTTAAATAATTTTTCAAGTAGTCGTATATTGCGCACTAAAAGCTGAACTTGAGCTTGAGCTTCATTACGATCGTGACCTCATGCATTTGAAAGCATTATCATTATGGTAGTGAAACTGATTTAATTCCGATAGCAGCTCAAAGAATCAGTTATGTTATTTTCAGTATCTGTATCTGGCGTTAACACATTGTCGTTACCATCAAATGAAGCCGTATGCACTCTCAACGGAGAGGTTAGTAACCCAATGGATGGTGTGAGTGAAGTCCTTGAGAAGACTTTCGGTAAAGATGGCTACCAGTGGTTAGAGGCATCGTTCGGCAAAATAAGTGGCACTGAGATGGCTGCACAAGCTGAGAAAGCAACTAGTAAAGAAATTAAAACAGCTGTTTTACCGTTGAGAAGTGAAATCGAAGCCATTTACAAAATTGCAAACTCGGTTTGTTTCCGATTTTGAAACATTTTATTCATTCCAGTTTGGATATGTGATGAGACTTTTAGAGTTAATTTGTCAGTTTGATACAAAAATTACGGAGGTTTCGTCGGTATATAATTGATAAAATAAAAATTATTGTGTTCATTCAACATTCTACTGCATGCATTCTTTCAATTCATTAGTCATTGTTTTTTAGTGCTCTCACCTAAAAAAGTTGTTGCAAGAAAATTTTTGTTGATTTCACCCATTGTTTCATTGTTGATTTCATTTTCGAATGAACTTTATATCTAAGAGTTCTTTGCTTGAGTAAAGATATTGAAAGTCGTTTTCAATCGATGCTATTAATTAGATATGATAATTAAGCAACAATTGTTTATAGCTAACCAAATCTGGTGCTCAATTGTCGTCCTCTCCAGCGTTGTTCATGATTCGTGTGGAGGGCTTAAGGAGCGCCGCACTGGTGTCGTTAGAGGAATACGAAAATGGTTTGCAAGAACTGCAAGATGCCATCGGTGTCCTAACAGAAGCATTATCTGCTTCATTCGGTGATCAAGCACTGGTTGAAGTCATCACTGCTGAAGGTGCCGATATTGTGACTCCTGATCTACCATATGCTGAGGCAAAACACAATATCCATAAACGAGAAGCTACTGGAGATTCGGATATGGATGAGGTAACAAGCGTTGGGAATTTTCATGTTCTTATTATGTGCACGTTAATGATATTCCATGTTCTTATGAGGAATTTAATAATTCAACTGATTAATTATCCGAAGCATGTTTGTATATATTGGGAACTGACATGCAATNATTATTTGAAGGGTAAACGTATCATGGGGCTGCGTAGTACACTCAACGTCTATAAGGTATGTGATTTCAAGTGGTCATTATCTGCTTTCATTATTCTGCAGCACGGTATTAATGAGGTTTTTGAGCAGCAGTTATTGAATGTATGAATTACTGTGTTTTTTAGATGAGTGCATTGATTCTTTGATGAACGGAGATTAAGACATTGAATTTCAGTTCACTTCGTCCGATTACCCAGCGATATTCGCCATATTTGCTGGTCTCATAATCATCCTTGTGCTGGCAGTACTCTTCATTGCGGTCGGTATTTGGAATATGGATCCTGGAAAAGATTCCATTATCTATCGTATGACAACAACTCGGATGAAGAAGGACTGACTGAGATAATCGATCACTTCGTTTTGTTATCACATTAATGAGAACCATTAGGTTTGGCATCTGTATTTGTTCAATACCTATATTACCTTCTTGTTGTAGTCAATTCTGTGAGAAGTGAATGTCTCTCCTAATAAACATTCCTTTATTAAGTGTTGTGTGATAACGATTGCTTCTTTGTGATAAGGATGTTAACAATTTCGAAAAGTATCATCTTGTTGAATCGTCCACTTTTATCTTGTGTGGATCAGTTTATTTTACCTTCACACTCATTAGTTTTTCTTGTCTAATTTTCATTTCTTAGAAGATTTTGTCATACAATCTTTTGCTATTACGACTACTTATGTTTCTGGTAAATGCTTATCTGGTAACTAGTCATAACTTAGTTTATTTGTTTCATCAGTAATACTCAACTATTTTCAAGAATA